GGTCATGGTGGTACCCACTTTTAATCCCAGCCCTCGGGAGGCAGAGGTAGATGGATCTGCGTGAGTTCGGGCCAGCCTGGTCTACAAAGTGAGTTTAGGGCAGCCAAGGCTACCCAGAGAAACCCTGTCTTGAAAAATCAAAACCAAAAAACAAAAAAGCCCAAAAAAACAAAAACAAAGCAAAACCTAGGGTCATTGTTGTAGCCCACACCTTTAATCCTAGCATTCAGGGGGCAGAGACAGGCAGATCTCTGTGAGTTCGAGGTCAAGCTGGTCTACAAAGAAAGTTGTAGGACAACCAGGATGATGTATAGAAACCCTGTCTCAAAAAACAAGACAAAACTAGACTAAACTAAAACTGCCTAAACATTTTAGATCCCAGAAGCTCTTATACCCACACACCCAGCAGAACCACATAGGGAGATTTGTTATTTATTTTTCTTCACAGGAGCCAAGATGGAAGCCAAGGCCTCACACACTCTAGGCAAATGCTCCCCCACTGAGCTACATCCCAGCTGCAAGGGCAGACTTTTATCTTTGAAATTATTTTCTGTGCACAGGTGCTTTGCCTGTACATATCTGTGTACCACATGTGTGCCTGGTATCCAAGGAGGCCAGAGAGTGTGTCAGATCCCCTGAAACTGGAGTTACAGATGGTTGTGAGTTGCCATGTGGGTCGTTGGAACAGTAGCCGGGGCCTCTGGAAGAGCAGCCATTACTCTAGAGCGTTGATCCATCTCTCCGTCCCCCTAAGAGGATACTTTAAAGAAATGGACCCCCCAGATTTCAGTGCTTCTGAACTAATGTGTCCAGAGTGAAGCCCAAGAATGCGTGTTTGTTTTTAAGCCCTGGTGTTACTGAATCCACCGGGCTCTCTGAATGCCACTGCTCCTTCTAAACGCCCACAGACAATTGCTTCCAGAGGTTTGTGCCTCTGTGGCTATTTCCTGTGATGTCCTTTATGCAGACCGGGACGTGGCCCTTCTGACCATCATGCTGGCCTGGGAGTAAGGATCAGTTATCTAATCCAGAGTTCTAGAAGGCAGGGAGGAATAGGGCAAGCTGACAGGAGTCCCTTTCTTAGGGACATCTCATGCCCTGACTGCCCACGTGACCGTTCTTCCAAGCCTACCCCGCTCCTTGGTTCTGAATGTTCCAGAAAGCAAGACAGAATAGGTAGTGAGTGGGCTGCGCCCTTTGAGTGTTCACCTCAGGGCTGGGATGAGGGCCTGTTGAGGAAGCCATTTACCTCAGGCACAGTGGAAAGGGAAACAAAAAGTTCAGGAGTTGAGCAGAATATCTTAACATGTCATTCTAAAAATGGACATTAGTGCCAAACACTGGTGATATTTTGTTGTTGTTGTTGTTTTGAGACAGGGTTTATCTGAGTAGCTGTCCTGGTCTTATTTTGTAGACCAGACTGGTCTTGAATCCACACAGACCCACCTGCCTCTGCCTCCCTGAGTGCTGGGATCACAGATGTGCGCCACTGTGCCCGGTTCACTGGTCATATTTTGATGAATGAAATCTCAAAATGTTGAATAATGACAAAATCAGTCATGGTTCCAGACCATGTCAGAGACTGGAGTAAAGGAAAACACAGTACCAGAAATGACACAGAGGGTGGAAAACAAACAAACAAACAAAAACCTCAAAGCTTATGAAATACCCTCTTAGCACAACTGACTCCATGATGGAAGTACCATTCGGGCCATAAAATTCAGCATATAGTCAGCACCACCTGCCAAAATGCAAACATAAACCCAGTCCATCAAAGTCCATAGTTCTGGGAAAGTCTCAAAATGTTCTAACCTTGCTTCTTGGTTTCTGTAGTTCAGCTTCTGGCTATCTGGTTTTTTTTTTTTTGTTTTGTTTTGTTTTTTAGATTTTATGTATTTATTTTATGCATATTAGTGCTTTAAGAAGGCAGTAGAGGGTGTAGATGGTTGTGAGCCACCATGTGGTTGCTGGGAATTAAACTCAGGACCTCTGGACAAGCAGACAGTGCTCTTAACCACTGAGCTATTTCTCCAGCCCCTGGCTATCTGTTCTTGATAACTGAAGTATGTCAACCCAGGACAAATTTTTTCTGCCTAAAAGCCCACCTGAGAAAGGCTCAGTACTATACTGGAATCCCAAACACCCAGTGTAGACTCCAGTTGCCTAATAAAGACTGTGTTGGCTTAAAACCATGTCTGATCAGTCTTCAACAGTGTGGTGGCTCCGATTGGAGGCTAGCCTGGCCTACACAGTAAATTCCAGGCCAGCCTGGACAGTCATCTATGATTCCAGAATGCTGGGGTGATGGTGAACACTCTATAAAAGAAGCATATACCTGTGTGGTGGCGGCGTACCCCTGTGATCCCAGCACTTGGGAGGAGAGGCAGGCTGATCTCTGTGAGTTCGTGGCCAGCCTGGTCTACAGAGTGAGTTCCAAGATAGCCAGGGCTGCACAGAGAAACCCTGCCTCAAAACACAAACACAAAAACAAACAAGCAAAAAAAAGAAGTATATATATATATATATATATATATATATATATATATATATATATATATATATGACAAGGTCAGGAATAAGAATGACATTAAAGCTCATTTTTCTTTTTTGAGGTGGGACTTGCTGTGTAGGCCAAGCTGGCCTCAAACTCTCAGCAATCCTTCTGCCTCAGCCTCCATATGGTGGAAGGAGAGAACTGATTGCTGGGATTACAGGTGTGAGCCATGATGCCCTATGTTGCATCGTGGGAAGCAGGGTTACATGTATTCGCTGAGATGTGGGTCTCATCATTCGCTGAGATGTGGTAGCCCAGGCTGGCCTTGACTTCTTGGCCAGGATCCTGCCTCAGCCTTTCAAGTGCTGGGACTAAAGCTGTGAGCGCTATGCTCTGTGGTTACAGCAGGGCCCTTCCCTGTGACATTGGAAGAAAATGGTGAGATGCCTTCAAGCTTTGAAAGGAAAATTGTTTTTAATTTGTAAGTCTACATTCGGTGAAGTCATCGATCAAAGGAGAGGGCAGAATAAACGAATTTTCAGACATGTATGTTCTTAGGAGAGTCTCTCCTGTGAGGTGACCTCTGTCGGGAAACTGCCACAGAATCAAGCAGGAAAGGGAAGACACAGGGTAAAGGGACCAAGGCTCCAACATTCAAGAGAACAAGGAGGTGGATGCAGGCTGGCAGATGTGGTTGGGACAAATGTTTATTTTCATTTGTTGATTGGACATTGAAGACAGGGTCTTACGTAGCCCAGAATGGCGTTGGACTTACTATGTGGTCAAGGATGACCTTGAACTTCTGATCTTCCTACTTCTATCTACAGAGCACTGGGATTCTAAGCATGTACCACTACACCCAGTTTACAAAGTTTTGGGGATCAAACCCACAGCTTAATGAGTGCTAAGTAAGCATTCTAGCAACTGAGCTACAGCCCCGGCTTCCTTGATGACCAACTTGACCACACTGAAAATTATATTTTGAAGCCAAAGGGATGGCATGTGAAAAAGTGTTCCTGGGGTTAGCACAGAAAACAGGCAGGGCGGGGGAGGTAGCAAAGATCCTGAAAAGACAAAAATGAAAACACAGGAAACAGGGCTGGAGAGACAGTGGTTAAGTTTGACCGCCTGGGGCCCATATGGTGGACGGAGAGAACTGACTGCTGAAAATTGTCCTCTGACTTCCACACACATGCAACACAAAAATAAAAAGATACATGTAATTAATAATAAGACATCACCGACGCTTGGATCATGTGATAACGCTAAAAGGAAAGGCACATGAGTTTAAAAAAAAAAAAAAAGATGGAGGAGAACAGTTCTGAGGAGAACGGCAGAGCCAAGTCATCTACCACAACAGACCAGAAGCAGATAATGTCCAAAGCCCACTCATTGCTGGGCGTGGTGGCCCACACCTTTAGGCCCGGCACTTAGGAGGCAGAGGCAGATGGATATCTGTGAGTTCAAGGCCAGCCAAAGCTACATAGGGAGCCCCTGTCTCAAAACCAACTAAACAAACAAAGCTCACTCCTTAAGGTAGCTGAAGAGGCACAGGATTGGAAGACATCAGCCCAGAGGCCTCCTACTGTAGAGAAGGTTCGGGAGGGCAGCCTGGGACTACCGTGTTTACTCTTCTGTGCTTCTGGAACTATTTTTGGTCAATATTGCCCAGCCTGGCCCTGGACTCCAAGATCCTGATGCTTGGCCTCAGCTTCCTGCTCTGCTGGACCCACAGGCACACACAGCCCCACCCCACTACCTCCTGCCACTGCCCGCTGTTTGGAAGTTTCTGGAAGTTCTTCAAGACAGAGAAGAGAAAGAGAGTGATACCTCGGAGCACGAGCTGTTGTTTCTGCTCCTCATTCCGTGGCTTGCCTGCCTCCCCAGCCTCCACCCTTCCCTTTCCACCGAACACACACTCACACTTGCTCGCACTCCTCCCAGACACGAGCCACCCACCCGCCCACCCGCAGTGGCAAACCATGGCACGTGGACATAGTATGAAAAATTGCTCAGCCACAGGTGCAAAAAAACCGCTTTTGACTCACATACGGAGGCAGAGGCCCTTCAGCTCTCAGTGGTCTCCTCCCACACAGGGCTTCCCGCCCCCAGGCCCAGAAACGTCTGCCTCAGGGACACCTGGACTGCTTCCTCCTCCATTCCAACTACCTCAGGATGTCCCTTACCACAGCCTGTCCTTAACCTTTAGGGCCTCACACGGTCCAAAGATGAAGCAGAAATGTGGTGGGGGGGAGCCTTAAATTGGCAGCGGGGGTGTAACTAGGCTACCTTCAGCTATTTCTTCCCTTAGAGTGCAGTGCATCCTGGAGTAGTTTCCTTCACCACTCCAGGTCCTGGTGGAAGCCTACAAAACCCTGAGATGCTTTGATCCTAGGCCTCAGCCCGGAGTCGGCTTGCCTGCAGCCTCTTCCCCGGGAACCCTATCCATTTCCGTCTCCGTATCTGACACGCAGGCAGGCCCCAGCTCCGCTCTCCCTGCACTCACCACCACTCTGGTCCTGTTGTCCGGCAGTGTGTCAATGGCCAGGGTGTCCCCACCCAGGTCCTGGCTTAGCTGGGTCCTGCCTGGCTTCAACATCTGCCCCGGACTCTCTCGGGCTCTCCGACTCCAGCCTTGCCTGGTCCACTTGGCAGTCCATCCTTGGCTTTCGTGGGGATCTGGGAGAAGGAAGGGACAGAACACTGAGTGCCGGCGGTCCCTGGAAAGGAAGTGGGAAGGGGTCCTGCAGCCGCCTCAATGCTACACCCTCATTGTTTCTGGGGACACTTGATGACCTGGACAGCAGGTTCACAACACAGATCGAGAGCCATGTGCGCATGCAATCCTAAAACCCCTCAACCCTCCACAGTGAACAAAGTGTGTCTGGCAGACCAGAATCCAGCTCAGAGGTTAAGGGTGTTGGGGATTGGACTCAGAGCATCACATGTAACAGGCTCATCCACTGGCCTACATGGCCAACCACGTCCTTCTTCCTATCTCTTTGTTTTTCGAATACTCCATACTTCTCACATAAATGGAATCATACAACATATCTCTGGTTATTGGCTTATTTCACTTAGCGCGATGTCTTCAGGGTTCAGACTTGTCCTTTTTGAAGACTGAACGGTATCCCATACCACATTTTGCTTATCTGTTCATCTAACAATAGACACCTGGGTTGTTTCCATGAGTCGGCTACTGTGACTGGTTCTAAGAGGAACAAATGGCATAGGCGCCTCTTTGGGGATCTGTTTCCAATTCTTTGGGTTTTATGCCCAGGAATGGCTCATATAGTAATTCCGTTGCCTGCCATACTGTTTTCCATGTAAAATGGCTAAGCTAGTTTATTGGTTTGTATGTTTTCAATTATTTTATTTTATGTATGTGGGCGTCTTGCCAGCCTAAGTGCCTATGGGACCCAAAAGAGGACATTGGGTATCCTGGAACCGTTCTTGCGGCCATGTGGTTGCTGATAATCAGACCCAGGTCCTCCAGAAGAGCAGCCATTGCCCTCAACCACTGAGCCATCTCTCCAGCCCCCTAGGCCAGTTTTCATTCTCTACGGTGCCCAAGGTTTCCTACTTCTTCACAGTGTCAAGTCTTGTCTTGTTTTTTTTCCAGGGTCTTGGTAGTAGCCATTCTATTCAGTGGACAGGAAACGATGTGTACTTGTGATTTTGATTTGCATTTCTTTTTTTTTTTTTTTTTTTTTTTGTTTTGGCTTGGTTTTTGAGACAGGGTTCCTCTGTGTAGCCCTAGATGGCTTGGACTCACTTTGTAGACCAGGCTGGCCTTGAACTCACAGCGATCCACCTGCCTCTGCCTCTGCTGGGATTAAAAGCATGCACTACCACACCCGGCTCTGATTTGCATTTCTTTAACAATTAGTTGAGGGTGAGTATTGTTTCATGCGATACTGGCTGCTTGTATACTTTCTTTGGGAAAATGTTTAAGTCTCTGGCCCATTTTTAAATCTGGTGGTCTCTGGATCACTGTTCCGTAAGATATTTAAAAGCGTCTTTCTTTCTCTACCCACTAGACCCTGCTTCACCTCACAATCCTCCCTCCCCCACAGGCTTTGACAGCTGAAAAATCCTTCCAGACGTGAACAGAAACCCTCTGGAAATAAATTGTTCTCCTCTGCGCTTTTGGTTTGATTTGTTTGTTTTGAAACAGGATCTCAATACTTAGCCCCAGCTAATGGGAAGTGAGGCTGGCCTTACAGCCCAGAGATCTGCCTGTATCTGCAGCTAAAACTTCAGGCAAATCACTTTCCTTGTGTAACAAAGGGCCCAGAAACCAGCTGGGATGGCAAAGAGATTTCATCTCAGATGCCATCTCTCATTAATTAGCGGCAGCCAGAAGCACTCTAGACAGGAATCCCAAGGCTTCGTTTGTATTTAGCAGAAGAGACTGTCATGATCCATTAGTAATGTCTGCTAGGAGCACAGGATTGGCAAATGGCCACGCAGGGCCGGTCGTTCCAACACGCGAGCTCTCTTGAGCCTGTTAACGGACTCTAAATGATGCTGAAAAGCATCCTCCTCCATTCCAGAGCGTTAGGTCCCCAAAGCTGTGCCCTACGTTGTTATTCTCGTTGTCACACCTGACCTGGATTTATGAAGGACACAGACCACCCCACCCGTGGCCTCCATCAGTCCTAGGTCAGACGCTCCTCTCCACCTCTGACTCCATCCATCTTGCTCACCAAAGCTGGTTGAGTGGTTCTCACTGCCCAAGACCTCCTCCCCGAGGTCGCTGAGTATCCTCTCCCAGGGAGGCTTGAACTCCCCAGGCCTCTCTCCACTCTCCTTAGAGTGCCTGGCAAACAGTAAGTGCTCAATCAGTACATCATTGAAGACGCTACACTAGGGGTTGCTCTCCAGTAGAAGCAAAGACAGGGGTTGAAACAAGGCTTGGCTGGACGAGGCCTGGTGCCTGGCCAGGATGCTGCTGTGGGGCTCTGATTTGTCACTAGACATTTTATCCAATTAAGTCATTCTTGGCTGCTGGTACCTACTGGACTCTTGCCGGGCCCCTCTCACTTCTCTGCCCCTAATCAGAACCAGATGCTGCTGGAGAATATGGGCAGAGGGGCAGTTCTGACCTCTTCCACAAGATATCTACTGAATGGCTGAAAGCCCAGCGCTGGGCGGCCCAGCTGCTGACCCCTCGGTCCCACGCAAGCTCCGGCCCCATCAGCAAGGCCACAGCTGTTTGTGCTGAGCTGGGTGGCCTTCTCCCCAAGTCCTCCTGAAAGTAGCTAGGACTGGAAAGGCACACATGCGGGCCAAGCGGAAGGCCTGATGTGTGGACGGGCAGGAAGTACCAAGCCTGCACTGACTATGCAGAGGGATGTCAGATGGGGTGTAGGAGGCCCATAGGATGGCAGGGGGAAACACCTGGGCTTTCCGTTCCAGCCCACCACCCCCAAGCTGGGACCTGGCAGTTTTCCTCTTTAAGCTGCAGCTTGCCTGTGTGACAACCGTACCAATGGCAGGCTGCCCTGAGAATTGAGTTAAAAACAGAAATGAGGTTCCAAGCAGCCAGGGGCAGGGCCATGGGTTCCACGCAGGATGATAGAGGAAGAGCAGAGGAGACTACGAGGGGCCGGCGGTCCTCAAAAGTGTCTCTCCAGCTCCAGCATGTCCGTGCCTCTAGCCCCTCCCAGTCGGCTGGGCCAAGATGCCACCTCTTAGTCCATGCCAGGAGCCAGTGCAGCTGCTAGTCACACAGGTGCAGGACCCGATGCCTGGGCACACAGCCTCGAAGCCTAATGGAAGCCAGAGCCTAACAGGTTCACTTCGGTGACATGCCTGGACACCGCAGGATGCTTTTGGCTGAGATTCGGCCTCTCAGTTCCCGTTCCAACGTTTGCTTCCAGAACAGGGGCTGAACTCCGTCACTGGGGGCTCTAAGTGCTACATCATGTAATGGATGGTGTGATGGCAATGGCTGAGAGACTGCCAGCCACTCTCAGCAGGCACTCGTCTTTCATCCCCATGTCAGTCAGCTCCAGGAGATAGGCACTAGCTTTAAATCCATCTCATAAATGGGGGAAAATGAGGCACAAAGATGCTAAATAATCTGCCCCCAGGTCACCCCCTCAGTCCAGGGCAGGATTTGAACTCAGGCAGGCTGGCCCTGGTCTGGTCAGAACCATAGAGCACAGTGCAGTAAAGCCAAGCATAGTTGCTCATGCCCTTAAACCCAGTACTCAGGAGGCAGAGGCAGGCAGATCTCTGTGAGTTCAAGGCCAGCCTGGTCTACAGAGCAAGTTTTGGGTCAGCCAGGACTGTATACTATGGGGGAGTGCAAAGGTCATGCTCTCATCCCCTGGCACAGTCAGCCCTGCTGCAGTGTGCTAGGGCTGAGAAGGAGCCAGGTTACACCAGCCAGGGTCTGACCCAACCCACCTTCAATCCCATCTGCCACTCAAGCTAGTCCTTCCAGCCATACCGCCACCACTGTGCAGGCTGCTGATGTTCTCTCTGGATGTGCATTTCAGGTTCCACTCTGTGTGCCCCAGGGCCAGTTGCCCACACACTCTGGGTAGGGCAAGCCATCTTGAAGCTCCACTTGATTCCATCTCTCAGGCATTCCTCCTCCATCTCTCAGGCATCCCTCTCCCCACACTCCTCCAGCTGGTCCCAGAGCTCTTGTGACCAGACTTCTGCTTTCTCTTGCATCCCTCCAGGCCCTTTAGGCCCCAGCCCTGCCATCCAGCCACCAGAGAGATTCACAAAGTTTCATACACCAAGACCACCCTACTCCTAAACAGCCGTTCCCTGGGATGAGCCCTTACTCATCCTTCAAGTCTGACAAGACACCATTGCTTCCTGGAATCTCCCTGATGCCTCTCTCCCCCTCACCCAGATGCCAGGGCTACCCAAGCTGGCCTCCTGGACCATCCTGCCCTTCGGTGCCTGTGCTCTGGCTTCAATACTCCAGTGCTACATAAACATGGCATGATGGTGTTATGCCTGTAATCCCTGTATTGTGGGGTGAAGGCTGGAAAATCAAAACTTCACGGTCATCCTCAGTTGCAAAGTGAGTTCAAAGCCAGCCTGGGCTATATGACATCAGGTTTCAAAGTCCTACTCTTTGTTTCACACATGGTCACACAAGGTCCTCCCCCGGCTTAACAAGTCCCACCTACTTTTTATAAAGCCCCTCTTGCAGAGACCCCTGGAACTCACTCTGTAGACCAGGCTGGCCTTGAACTCACAGAGATCCACCTGACTCTGCCTCCCTAGTGATGGGATTAAAGACGTGGGCCACCGAGCCCGGCGGTTTTGTTTTGTTTTGTTTTGTTTTGAAGTGGATCTCAGGTAACAGGCCAGCTTCGAGCTCACTATGTATCCAAGGACGATGTTGGACTTCTAATCCTTCCTCCTCCAGGTGGCCTTGCTCTCATCGTGTCCCGCCATGCCCAGCTTGGAGGGCATTTGTTTGTTAAGCAGGGGTGGTGAGGGGTGGCGGACTGCTCCGTGGCAGGCGGGGTGTGAGCCTGAACCTAAGCATGCTAGACTTCTCCCCGAAGGCACAGCCCAGTGAATCAGGGCAGAGTATGGTTGCTGCCGGTGCCTCCCAGCAAAGTAGGTCTCTCTGAAGAGGGGGCACGAGAGCTGATGGGAGGCAGTAGTGATGCCAGCAGCCATTGTGAGGAGGCTGAAATTTAGTCGCAATGTATTAGTTTATTGGGGGGTGGGGGAGGAGGGCTGGTGGGCAGGGAGGAAGCTGGGAGCAGATCATAACTGCACAGGTTGTGTATGAGACATCTGTTCAGCCCCCTCCTCTAGAGACAGGCAAGCCTGGCCCGGAGAATAGGGAGCTGTCCGGGCTCCTTGTGAGTTTGGAAATGGCTGCCTGCAAGAGTCTCCCTTCTGTGTGTGTCCTGGGGGGGGCTCTGGTTCCCCTGAAACCAGACCCTCAGTGTCCTCCCCCTGTGCCCCAGGCCATTTTCCTGTCTGCCCGTCTTCTGGTTTCCCTCTGGTGTCCTTGTCGCTAGACTCCTACTTCAGGTCACTGATGACTCCTGTTCCCATTCTAAGGATGGATGTGGGGACAAGGCTCTAGAGATGGAGGGACCTTGCTGCTTGCCAGACCTGCCAGCCCTGACAGGGACCTGGCTACCTCAGCTGGGGCTGGGCCTCCTTGGTCCCCTCCATGTTGCTCTTGCTGGCCACGGCAGCTCTATCGCAAAGATCAGGCAGCCAGACTCCATGAGGGGACCTCTCCCAGCCTTCCCCACTGGCACAGATCCTCAGATGGTCTCTCCGAACCACCACCACCACCACCACCAAACCCAGCAGAACCTCGGGTCTAATCTCAACCTCACTCACTGCGGGTGGTCCTCATCATCCAGATGACTCTCAAAAACAGAGGAAGCAGAACAGTCTGTCCTGACACAGATGCCACACCTCCCAGGGCCCCCGTGCAGCCATCTTCCTTTCCTCAACCTTCTCCATGGCCCAAATCCCTCATCGACCCAGCTGAATCTCAGTTCAGAGAACACACCCGGGCTAAGGCCGAAAAGAACTCAGAGATCAGCCCACCCAGCTCCTTCCTATTTACAATTTTAAAACAAATTATCCGTTGCCTGTACATGTTTGAAAAGATCTTTCATAATCCTACTCCCCAAAGCTGAAGATCTTGCCAATAACCTCATTTTCTAAATCAAGAAATGTGCCCAGAGAAGGTAAGTAACTTGCCCAAGGTCACTCAGCAAGTGAGACAGCAAAACTAGAAGCCAAGTGTCCAGCCACCCTCTGTGGGGGCCTCCCTGGACACTGATGCCTTCGCATCAGTCTCTAGACAAGTGACTTCCCTGCCCTCTGCCCCCATCCATACCCACCTCATCCCAACCCGGGTTCATCTCAACTACATACAGTGACCATTCAAGTCAAGAACACAGTCAGGGTCAACGCTGACACAACCTCCGCCAGCAGCGCCAAGAACTACCCCTTCCCTGACCCCAAGCAAGGGGCTCCCAATTCTCTTTCAAGGAGCTCGAAAATCACCTTTATTCCCAGCCCCAGAGGAAGTCTGGTTGCCGAGCCTAAGTTAAATATTGAGAAACGACCTTTCTTGACAACAGGAGGGATTCAAGGCACATCTCCGACAGGCTCTCCGAGTGGAAGGGGATGGCTCGAGAAGCTGGTCGAGGGGAAAGAGGAGGGTGCAGAATGGAAGCTCTTCCCCCACCCCACCCACCTCCTCCTCAAGCGCAGCCGGAGCAACTGAGAGCCACACGGAACCAAACAGGAGGGAAGAAAACCCTTGACCCTGGGAGACCCGGGAGCAGCTTTTTCCTGGGATCCCTGCCTCTCCGCCAGTACGCAACTAGGTGGGGGAAGCAAGTTAGACGGCCACGCTGGTGCCAGGATGTCCCCATTCTCCGGAGGCTCCCACGCAGTCCGAGACCAACTCGGACCCAGCCTATTGCAGCGGAGGGAGGCGGCAGGGGAAAAGCAGGAAAGGGCAAACGCCCCTCTGGAACGACCGCGGGGGTCCCCACGACTATTCTGGGGACCCCGAGCTGGGTCCCTCCACGTCCTTACGACGGAAGCCGGGGGTGCGCACCCTCCGTGCGCACCGGAAAGTAGAGCCCCCGTCCCCTTGTCCCCCGCTTTCCTGAGGTCCCGCCGGAGGGGCTGCACCTGCCCTGGTCCTACCTGCGGACGTTGCGGGACCGAGCGCGCGCGCGGCCCCGCGGAGCAGCAGCAGCTGCAGCAGGCAGAGCTGAGCCCGCATGGTGGGCGCGGACGGGCTCCCGGTCCGCCCGGCGGCGGCGGCGGCGGCGGCGGCGGCTGGCTGGAGAGGGAACGGCCCCCTCGGCTGGACGGACTGGGAGCCGGAGCGGAGCGGGCACGGCGAGCAGAGCGCGGCGCTGCGGCCTCAGGGAGCGCGGGCGGGAGGGCCCGGAGGGCGGGGCGCGGCGCCGGGGTCCCCGCCTCCCGGAGCTCCGCGCTGCGCCCCGGGGGATCCAGGACGGCGCATCTCTGGTCACCGAAAGAACCCCGCTGCCCCAGAAGCCCAGAGAAAAGGCCGAGGTGCACGGCCCTAGGAAGCGCCCCTTACTTGGGCCTTTGGCTCCTGCCACCCATCTCCTGGGCGCGCGACTTTCTGAGCTGGTCCTTGGACTTCTGCGGCCCAGACACAGACAGGCACCACGAATCTCCCGCAACCTAGCCCCCCACCCCCACCCCCCAGCTTCTGCCCCAGCAGCAGGCGCGAATCGCATCGCCTGCTTCACAGCCCTTCACCGTCTTCAGTGTCTTCAGCTGTCCTCCGACCCCCCACAGCACAGCAAACACGTAGGTGCTGAAGTCTGGCACATCCCCACTCTGAAACAGCGCGGGCGCCCCCTCCCCAGAAAGGCCAGGCTCAATCAGAGCCAGAGCCAGAAGTGAGGCCCACTGCCACCACGCTCTACCGGGCTCTGGGAATAAGACACTTATTTTATTTTTTATTTTTTTCCTTTTCCTTCCAGGATAGAATAAAAATACCCGCAGTTTAGGAGATTTGATAGACGGCATGGAATCAGGTCAAGGCGCCTGTGACCTATTTCGTGGGAAGGAGGGGGACTGGGGCCTAGAGAGTGGAGAGGGCTGAGGGGCTTCCTCCGCGCTGGGGACCTGGTGAGTACAGCAGGAAAGGGTACATAGGTCGCTTCCTGGGGCATATCCCGAGAAGGAGGGAGCTGGTGGGGACAGGAGCGGTACAGCGTGTGCTTCAGCCAACGGGTGGCCTGGCGCTGAGCTCAAAGGGATTCTCATCTCTCAGAATCCCAATTTCCCATAGCTAAATCCTCACCTCGCAGAATCGCAGTCCTGCTCTCCTCCGGGTCCAAGAGCCTAGAAGGAGGTTGATGGCCTCCCCCAGGCCTCAACCCTTTATGTAATACTATGGGCCAAAGCAAGCCTCAGAACTGAAGGGTTGTGGTGGTTGTTTCCAGACAGGGACTCACGCTGTGGACCAGGCTGAGCCTCGAACTCACGACAACTCTAACTGTTTCCGCCTCCTGACGGGATTCCAGGCCTGAGCCCACCAAACCCAGCCGGCCAGTAAAGGTCTAAAAAGCCTAACCTGCGGGGTGGGAGTGGAGGGGGGGGGGGAGCTGTCTTTTTCAGCTGTGGCCTCCTAGCGCCACCCAGTGGACGCGGGACGAGCCACCGGGCTGGAGTTTTGCTGCTCTGTCCGCGCAGGCGCCGCGGAGGGCCTTCATAGTGTCCCAAGACGGACGGCCAGCTTCAATTCTGCTGACTTCGTGCACGGCCAGCGTTGGTGCCCGCGCTGCCTCTTATAGGGTGCTTTGGTGGGGCTTGGCTTTCAGGCAGAAGCGGATGGCGTGCGCAGGTTTCCAAACGCGAGCCTCCGGGGCTCCAGCTTGCCACTGGCGCGCTGCTCCGAGCACACCTCGCTAGCCCCGCCCCAGGGTCTGTCACCGGGTCAGAGACGACGCCAGGAATCCTCAGGTCTAGCAGGGACCCAAGGGCTGATTCTGGTCACATTCTTAGAGGCACTGGCTTAGGAATTCCTGGTTCCCTAACGCCGCGATCGCTTCCCGAGTGTACGGGAGTTGGCGACGAAAACCGTACTACAGAAACGAGTGGAGCTTTAAGGAGGCCATTTAAACAAAATTGTGTAAAAGTAAGGCAGGGGGCACCCGGATTTGAACCGGGGACCTCTTGATCTGCAGTCAAATGCTCTACCACTGAGCTATACCCCCTCTGCCGGCAGCTTCGCGCCAGTAACCACTTACTGCTATCCTGGCGCAGGCGCAATAAAGTGTCTCTAAAAATGAGCTTGGACTTGGGTTTGAACCTTTCAAAGAAATACAGGGACCCGAGGTGCCGCCATACTCGCTGGAGAACAATAGGGTTTTCCTGACGCTCCGAGATTCCTTCTGATGGTACAAGAAAACGTCACCAGAAAGATAGCGGCGACCCCTCGGTGCTCGCGTGCTCCTCTGGGAGGGATCCCACTCTGCAGCCCGCTACTTCCCCCGACCCTCTGCCTCCAAACCCGGCCCCAACCCTAGACACTCAGTTTTCCCAAGGAGACAGCCCACCCGACCGCGCCAGCCTAGCCTAGGGGTATCCTACGGTTGATCAGCACACGCCAACAAAATGCTGGACCAAGCCGCCGGTGACAAAACGCAGACGGCCCTTGTGAAGCCGTGAGGGGGCACCCGGATTTGAACCGGGGACCTCTTGATCTGCAGTCAAATGCTCTACCACTGAGCTATACCCCCAGCACGCTCAGCTGTTTTCCTCAGGATGGATTTCTATGGATTCGATTTCTATGGCCCATCTATGGTCCTACTGTGTGATACCATTCACTGCGCTTTTTAATTTTTCCGTTATGTCAAGGATAACCTCATGAAAACACCAAAGCATGACCGAAATATCAAGAATTCACAAGCTCTTCCTTTATAACTACATCTCAGGGAGACTACTGCATTAAAGATCTGGGTCCTCTGGGTCTCTGCCCAGGCTGCCTGCTTGGAAAGGGGAGAAGCTATACTGCCTGGGCCCCTGAACGTGGAACAGCGTGGGCCTCCAATTCGTCTTTCGCACGACCTCTAAAGGACCCAGAGACTCTTCCATCTCCCTGGGGTCCCATGCTCAATGGATCATTATCAGCCCGCTTACCCCCGCTACGCCTAGAGCCAAGAGCCCCGGTCCTGGTTAGCGGATACCAACGAACAACCCTAGCCAAGTTCTCTAGCCAAACGAAGCGTTGAGCCAGTCCCTGCTCCCCCAACCCGATGGAGTCCTCCTCCCCCCAACACAAAATTTTCCGCAAAGAACAAAAGCCAGTTTGAGGAACAGACAGAAACAAGAGGTGAGCTTTTATTATGTACCTTAACCTTTTAAATCTTAATGTGATGTTTAAAAAAAAAAGACAAGACACAAAGACAAAATGAGCAGGTCCTGTAGAAATCTTTGATTTGAGAGGAGTAGGACTCCCCTCGGGAGGACGCTGAGGGGAAGAAGGTTCCATGTGGTGACTTGGACCCCTCCAAAAGCTGTGCTCAGAATCAGCATCTAAGGACGAGAGGGCTTCGACCTCCTGCAGGGTCAAGGGGTGCCTCTGTCTGCCGAGCCACCCTCCCGCTCTCCACCCCGCCCCCAGCTTTTGGCAGGGTCCGTTGGTCTCCTTTATCGGAGTCTCCTCTGTCCAGGGGATACGGAACAATGTCAAAGATCTCTTGCCTTCCGGGCAGACAGAAGGTGAGGGCTGGGCGAAGCCAGCCCCCAACACACCCGGCAGGTTCCCCTGTGTCTCCTTACAGTGATGGAGTGAGGACCATTTCATCTGCGGTCCTGTCTGCACCAGCTTTCAGTGCCAGGACAGTGGTCGACTCTGTCCACAGCCACCATGTTTGCACCGGCAAATGACGGGCGTTTCTCACGGGTGATAGCCATGTGGTCTCTGGTTTTTGGCCTCAGGCTGGGGCATCAGTTGGTGGAGGCCTGGGATTGCATCCACTGGAGCCCAGCTGGCAGCCTGCAGGGAGGGAGGAAGGGCACAAAGGCCCATCAGCATTTCCCATAAGGTGATGGCTGGAAAGCCCCAAGCCTCTGCCTAGGGACAGACTGAAAGGGTAGCCAAGGTTATATACAATCACTTAATGTTAGAAGGGAAGTGAGCTGATTTCAAATGCGTCAGCACCCAGTGTACTGAAGGCTGGAGAGAAGCAGCCTGCGCACAGCCCGGCAGAGGGGATGGAGAATCAATGAAGAACCCAACAAAGAAGGAAGTCGGCGGCCTTGGGGAGCCATGGAGGCTCCTCTGACAGGCAGCTTGGAGACCTGCCTTCTTGGGCCCTCAGCAGTGACCCTAAGCAAGTCTTCTGTTATTTTGCTTTGTCGCTAGGGGCAGTGGAGGGGTGACCTCAAGGCTTGGAAAGAGGCTCTGTAAGCAAGCTCCTCCGGGGGTGAAAAACACCTCCAGAAAAAAGATGAAAACTTGGCCATATCTGTTAGCACCTAGCCTTGCCTGGCCCAGGGTATGGCACACGGGGCCCTGGGAGTACTGTGAACTAGAGTGTAGACTGGAGAAGACGACGAGAAGACGAGAGTGCCTAATGGGTTGAGGCGAGGCAACAAGCATAGTGCCGGAAATCTGTGGTCCCTAGGATTCACTGATTTCAAGTTTCCTTTTCATAAAAAAAGAAAGAAAGAAAAGAAAGAAGGAAGGAAGGAAGAAGGAAGGAAGGAAGGAAGGAAGGAAGGAAGGAAGGAAGAAAGAAAGAAAGAAAGAAAGAAAGAAAGAAAGAAAGAAAGAAAGAAAGAAAGAAAGAAGGAAGGAAAGAAAGAAAGTTTCCAGACAGCAGAGATGAAAGGAATTTTTTCGGGCCTCATGCAAAGAAGGCCCTTCTGAAGAAACCCAGTCCTTCACACCCTGATGTATTTGATTCAAACACTAGGACCTGTCTCCTCAGCATGGGCAGGTCGCGTGCACGAGAGCACACACACACACACACACAAAGCTGTGACTCTTCCCCCTACTCTTTCCAGTCTTTTGTTCCCTTCTCCACCTTCCTGTTTATGGGTTTGTTTCTTTGTTTTCATTTTGGTTTTTGTAGCAGGGGCTGGATACGCAGCCCCGTCTAGCCTTGACCGCACGATGTGGTGGAGGACAGGACCCTGAACTTCTAACCCTCTTGCTTCTACCTCCCAAAGTGCTGGGATAGCAGGTGTGCAACAGTCCAGGGCTTCAGGCCACGTCAGGCCTCCATATCCAGCCTGTCAGCAGGAACTTTTCTCTGCTTTGCTCACTGCCGTTTTCCCATCGCCCAGAATAGTACCTGCCACAAAGTGGGTATCCAAGGTGCCATTCGCTCTCTGAAGTACAGGGAGGAGGGAAGTATAACCGTTTTACTAGTGAGGAAGCCAAAGAGTTCTCGATTTCCGCCTTGAAGGCCCTAACCCCCTTCCTCCAAAGGTCTTTCCACGGCTCTTTCCCTTCACTGGGTTTTAGCTCCCCCAAACCATGAGACAACTCTCACCTCTCTGCCACTTTATCTGTGTCACTTCCTCCAAAGAGTTTCTGGGTCCCCAAAGTCACTGCTGTTTCTGGGGATTGTTAGCCCTCACCATTAGAGCAAGCCCTTGGCGAGCACAGGGGCTCTGCGGGCCCACTGCATCCTAGCTCACAGGAAGATGGCCTGTGTCCATCTTACTGGGCCTGGAGCCAACTGTGAGCCAGATTCTGACTGGAGAGACCCAAGAGAGGGATTCCCGTAACCTTCAGCCCTTGGGGTGGGCCGGCTCAGGTGAAGTGGAGGAGGAGGACTGACCCTTCTCCCGTGAGAGCACAGCAGCCCTGGATATGCCACGGGTGGTCTTTGATGGCACTGAGTTTGAGGAATCGGGAGATCTCTGCTGTGGTCATGGAGCCCTTTACATCCTGCTTGTTGGCCAAGATCAGTACCGAAGCATCTTGAAGTGCCTGCGGGCAGAAGAGGGCAGCCCGGGGTCAGCCAGCCAACCAGCCAGCCTAGCATCCCTCCCATGGTCTCAAGAGTTCTCTGGGATCCCCGCCTCACTATTCAAGCAAGGCCCATGGGCAGGTGGGAGAGGCCTACTCAGACATTAGCAACCCCATCAAATGCCACAGCCCCTGGGACACCTTCTAACTGCTCACAGGGTGTTTCCTCTATCCTCAAACATTGTTTTGTTGGTTTGGAGATTTTTTGCTTTTTTTGGGAGGGGGTGTTTCCTCTTCATTTTTCTCTTTCTTGAGACAGGGTTTCTCTGTATAGACCTGGCTATCCTGGAACTCAATCTACAGACCAGGATGTCCTTGAACTCTCAGAGATCTGCCTGCCTCCGTCTCCCGAGTGCTGGGATTAAAAAGCGTGTGCCACCACAGCCTGCCTCAGACATCATTTTGTTATTGTCGTTGTCTGTTTGTTTTTTTTCCAAAACAGAATCTTACTGTGTAGCCCAGGCTGGCCTGGAACTCACTATAGAGCCCAGGCTGGCCTCAACCTCATGATAGTCTGCCTCAGATTGCTTGTAAGAGCCACCGTTCGTTCCCATTGTGAGGTAGGAGAAATGAAGCAACTTGCTCAGGGTCTCACTTGCTGGGTAAGGGGTGAAGTCAGCCCTTGAAACAGCAGCCGTAGCTAGCTTCTATGCTTTGTTGTTCTGAGGGTGCAGACCAAACCCTTTATCTGTAATAAACTAGCCCTCTCCATGCTACAAGGATATGGCTCCCAAGTTAGCACATCAGAGAGGGCATGTGAGCAGCCTGAGAGGGCACGGCTGGTCTCACCCGATGGCTTTCCCGAGTTCAGGAAACTCACCTCATGGGCCAGCATCTTATACAGTTCCTCCCGAGTGGCTGGCAATCGCTTCCGGTCTGTACTGTCGATCACAAGGATGACAAACTGTCCAGCAGGATGGAGATATATGAGCCGCAAGCTTTCTCTTTGGTGAACATGCTTCCTACCAATGGTTCTGCCCACTGGCCTCTGCCCTGCCCAAGTGCCAGCCCCATAGGGAAGGAACTGTGTAGCCTGCCAGCCTCACCAGCTGGCCCATTTTTATTCTTTTTATTTATTTTTTTTTTTGGTTCTTTTTGAGACTGGGTGTCTCTGTGAAACCTTGGTTGTCCTGGACTCACTTTTTAGACCAGGCTGGCTTTGAACTCACAGAGATCCGCCTGCCTCCCCGAGTGCTGGGATCACAGGCGTTACTAGGCCCAGTTTACTAGGTCCCATTTTTAATCACCTCATATTTAATTCCTTGGAGACAAAAATCTCGGTATGTAACCCAGGCTAGCCTGGGATTTATGATCCTCCTGTCTCAGTCCCCCACGGGCATAAAACACCACATTCATCCTAGGATCCGAAAAATCTTCTTTCTCTTTTTTTATATTTATATGTTTACTTTTTTTAATTTTTCGTGGTTTTGTTTGTTTGTTTGTTTGTTTTGAGAATTCAAAAGCCTTCACGGAGGCTACAGTGTCAAATATTGGACACAGTATTTGTTGTTACTTCCCTGTCGGCGCAGCGGGAGGGGTATCATTCAAGCACACCCCAGTGGCAGACGCTAGGCTCAGAGAAAAGTGTGGTAAGTGACTGAAGGGCTCAGGCACAGACCCGTTCCCTCCTCACCTCAGCATTGGAGTAGTATGTGTCCCAGGTGGGGCGCAGCGCCTCCTGGCCCCCTAGGTCCCACATAAGGAAGTGGGTCTTCTGAAAAACTATTTCTTCCACATTGCTGCCAATGGTGGAACACGTGTGGACCACTTCATTGGTCAGGCTAGGGGGACAAGAGAAGGGTCTAAGGTCTTGGCCCAGCTCACTCCCAGCTCGGACCATCATCCCTGTACTCCAAAAGCAGCCAAGCCCAACCCGGAACAGCTCAGCTCTGGGTGACCAAGCCCTCAGCGAGCCCCGCGTCCTACGGTTGGTGTGGGAAAAGAAAGATGCGGGTTAGTCACAGTGTGGCCCAGGCTGCGACCCCAGGGAGGAGAGGCTCCTTAGAACAACCCCCCCACCCCCTCCTCAGACTTGACAGAAACACCTGCGAGTTTTGGCTAAATGCAGCTTCCGGGAGGGGGTGGCGCAGGCCTTTGATCCCAGCACTCAGGCAGGCTGTGATGTCTTTAGAGCCTGTCTCACACAGGAGACCTTAACCTCCAGAGTGCTGTGATGCCGGACCAGGACCCCCGCTCTCCTTTACACGTTTTCCGAAATCTTACCAAGGAGTTATAAGGAGGAAGATCGAGAGTGAAGGTCTTTGGGCTGTTTGAATTTTTTTCCCCCCTAGGATAAAAATGCTAGAGATCCAGAGTCTCAAGAATTCTCGGCGAGCACTCTACACCTCCAGACCTTTCTCTCCGGATGGAATTTACTTGATTAACTTTACATGTATTACTTTCTCAGGATAGCACATGTCCTCAGTAGGGTCTCCCAATCAGGAGACTCCATCCAGAGCGAACGCCCGAGAGAGCGGGGGTGGCTGTTTGCGAAGCTTGTGCGTTGACCCGGGAGCTGAAGAGCTTCTGGGAGCTCACAGTCCACCCTGGCTTTTGAAGTTGGAGACTTTTAAGTTAACAACTTAATGTAAGGTTGCAAGGGTGAGGAGAAAGAGCCCCGCCGCCAGGGGGAGCCAAGAGGAGCGAGGCGAGAAACTGCCGGGAATCCCACACCTGCCAGGACTGAAATGCGTTTAGCAGGGTGGATCGCGGGAGGCGGTGGGACCGGAGGTTGCCCGTAGCTGGCAGGATCCAATTCCAGGCCCGGCAGCATCCGCCCATCACCCTTCTTCTCTACAGCTACCCACGAACCCAGGGAAGGGCTCTGGTGACTGGTCCAAATGGCTATCAGTCTGGCGTGAGGCCTAGCCCTCTATGTCCACCCAGGAGTTACTTACAACTGGTAGAGAATGGTGGTCTTTCCTGCGTTGTCCAGTCCCACGATGATGACTTTGTGCTCTGGAATCATCCAGGGCAAGGGCAAGGTCAGAGGCCATCCCGATGACCACCGGCTTGGGTGTCCCCAGGAGGCTTCTTGTTCTGGCCTCTTCCTCACCTTCAGCTCCTGCCTGGATGCCTCCTCTCCCGGTCCCTCCCATCTCCTGGCAATCTCCGAACTCTCAGCTTTCTGGGTCCCCCTTCCTCATCCCTAGGATGCTCAGGAAAACGCATTCCTGGGGCTGGGGGTCGGGGGAGGGCTCTGCTGGGAACCACTTCACCTCTCCAGGAACGCAGAAGAGAGAGCTGAACCCTATCTCACCCCACCCCCCCTCCACATTTCTAGGAAGCGATTGACTGAAGGGTCAGAAGTAAGCTGGGCTCTAAATCACAAAGCAGGAAGCTGACTTTGGGGCCCTCTCAGGTCGCGCCCAGCCCAGCTGGTAGGGGAGGCGGGGGTGGGGTGGCGAAGGAGTCTCTCTCGCCACGGTGCACTGAGCACACAGAAGCACAGGGACAAGGGAGGAGGGCAGAGAGGGGGCGCTGCACACAACGAACTCCAGCAGCCCAAGGTTCCCAGCTGGTCCTCCCGACGACCCCGAAATCCCAAGAGTCTCAGAAAGTGGAATCAAAGAGGTCATTGGGCTGCCCGGTGCCCCCTTACCCTGGCTCCCAAAGATTCGCATCAGTTTGGCTATCAGCTGACCCATGGCACTGCGGGAGCTGGGTGTCTGGGGAGCTCAGCAGCCTCGGGGCCAGAGCGCGGCCTCCAGTGTTCAAAGCCCCGCCTGGGGGAGGGCGAGGCCCTCTGCTCCTATCAGACGGGGAAACCCCAAGCGTCACCCTCAAGATCTGGGAATCCCTCCCTGGCCCTTGCTACAGGACTGAGCGGACGTCACCAAAGACCAGGCACCTGACCAGGGCCCTGAAAGTGCAAAGAAAATCCCAAGATCCTCTTCACCCCGAGAAAACTGAAGTTTGGACTATCTGTCCCAGAGCTGCAAAGTCACTCCTCCTCCCCAACAGCCACCCTGGGGCAAAACCCTCCCGGGGCGGCCAGACTTTCTGACATTGCAACACAGCGTTGTCATCTACAAAGTTCACAGCGAGAACCCTGCGACCGAGTTACAAAATGATCAACAAAAACAAAACAAAACAAAAAAAAACCCTCAGAATTTTTTGCCCATCCAATCTCGTAATTAAAAATATATATATTTTGTTTCGTTTTATTTTTGTTTTTCGAGATGCTTCTCTGTGTAGCCCTGGCTGTCCTGGAACTCTCTCTCAGTAAACCAGGCTGGCCTCAAACTCCGAGATCAGCTTCCCTCTGCCTCCCGAATGCTGGAATTAAAGGCGCACTCCATTAAACCCCGCTCCTTAAGATTTGTTTCTATTTGTGTGTGTGTGTGTGTGTGTGTGTGCCACACGTGTGAATACATGCGTGTATGTGCACCGTTGGAAGCCAGAAGAGGTCCTCAGATGCCAACTCGGATACTGGAAAGCCAGCGCAGGTCCTCTGGAAGAGCAGCGAGGGCTTTTAACTGCTCTGGCCCCTAATTACATAGTATTGTAATTTTCCCCAGTTTCTGTTAGGTGGCGTTGATGGCTGTCCTTGGCTACATGTAACTGCATGCAGCCTGCAGGCTTGGACATGCCTAATATCACAACAATGGCTGAAGAGGTGGCTCAGTGGTTAAGAGCACTTGCTCCTCTTCCAGAGGACCCGACTTCTGTTCCCAGGACCCACATCAGACAGATCGCAACTCTTTGTTAACTCCAGGTCTGGGGAGTTTCTTGCTTCTGGCTTCTGCTGACGCCTGCACGCTCATGCGCACACCCACATGCAGATACACACACCTGTATATAATTTAAAATAATAAAAATATATTTTTAGAATCACCATGACCAGGTATGGTGGTAAATGCCTCTCATCCCAGCATTCAGGAGGCAGAGGCAGGCGGATCTCTGAGTTCAAGGCCAGTCTGATCTACAGAACAAATTCCACGGCAGCCAGGACTAACAAAAATTAATTAATTAATTAATTAAAATAAATAAATTCACAATAACCTCAGGTAGGCTCACAGATTCCATGTCAGCTTGCAGCAGGTCTCTGGCTGTTTCGTTAGTAGGGGGTTTTCGGTCCAACTCAAAGTGAACTTCCCTAGGAAAGAGCATGGGTCTCTGATCCTTTTGTGGGTATCCCTAGTCAGTTTCTGGAAAAATTAAGGTTGCTTCTGCAATCTACTGACAATCTGGCAGTTGATCAATGCTGGAAGTCTGAAGATAAGGTCCTCCAGCCAGTGACCCTGCAGAGGGGACCCAGGCATGAAGACCAAATGGAGGAGTCACATAGACAGACGGCATGGCACGTAGCTGGGATTCCGGCACTGGGGAGGCCGAGGTGGGGAGGTCCTCAGCTGAAAGCCAGCCTGGGAAGCTAGGCTTGGTGGCACACACCTTTGATCCCAGCATTTGGGAGACTGGGGCAGGTTGATCTCTGATTTGGAGGCCAGCATGATCTACAAAGTGAGTTCCAGGCCAGCCAGGGCTACACAGAAAAACCCTGACTTGAAATCCCACCCCAGCCCAGCCCCACTGTGCCAAAATAAAACAAGTAACAAAACCAACGAGCCTGGGCTACATAATGAGATTGTCTCAAAACCATAAGTCAGCCAGGCAATGGTGATGCATGCCTTTAATCCCAGTGCTTGAGAGGCAGAGGCAGGCAGATCACTGTGAGTTCAAGTCTAGCCTGGTTTACAAAGCGAGTCCAGGGCAGCCAATCTGTCTCAGTGGTGGAGAAACGGTCTTTTTATTTGTTGATCTTTCTTATTTGTTTGTTTGAGAGGATCTGGATATGTGATCTGTCACCCTGGCTAGCTTTGAACTCCCCGACTCCAGCAATTCTCCTGCCTCAATCTTCTCAGTGGCTGGCCCATAGGCTCCAGCAGCAGGTAGACCCAACCCAGGGTGAAGTGGGTCACGGGGGAAAACAGCAGATCCGGTGGGATGAGGGAGAAAAAAAAGAATTGTGTTGTTTGTGAGTTTCACAACCTGGGGAAATCCTGGAAAAGCAAAAGAGAAGTAGAAAAGGCAAGCTGACCTCAGCCTGAGAAACTATGAGTCCCAGACTCCACATCCTCTCCCTCTCTGGCTCTGAGAAAACTGGAGCTCTTTAATATGCTTGTCCCACACTGTAAATCAAGGCAGACTCCAAGCAAGAGGCTCTAGTCACATTCCCACACCAGAGTGTCCTCCTACATCCCCTTATGGCTGGCTGCCCTTCACTAAGGCAGCAACCGTTAGCTGGACTTTCTGCCTCTACCTCTGTGCTCAGGGACTCTTCCTCCTCCTCCACCTCCACATGCCCCACCAACCTTTCTTGAGGACAGTGCGGGGTCAGTGACTCCCCCCATAAGCTGGCTCTCTGTTGCCCAGAGTTCAAAGCAGCCTCCTCCTGTGGCATTCAAGGGCTTCCATAAACAGCCCCTGCCCGGCCTCTGCAGCATCTGCTGGCCCTCACACCGGGCCCAGACCTTTCCCAAATCTTCTCAAATGTGCCTGAGCTTCTGTGTTTCCTCTACCCTGAATACCCTGAAAGGGAAACACTTTTAACTGGGATGTTTGTGATGAGCAAAGAAAAACAGAGCCAACCCCTGGGAGTTGACCTCTGACCTCACCGAGGCCCATGTAACACAGACCTTCTTCATCCCACGCTGCTTGACAAGCAGAGTTTGAACAATACAAAGTTGACGGCCACAGTTCGCAAAGTCCATCTGGGCTGAGCCCATTTCAGTCCTAGGAGCTGAGGTTTGGGCTGTGAGGTGTGACAGGGCACAGAGGGTATTTGGGGAATCACCAGTGTTTTAAGAATTGCTGCCCTCTGGTTCCTAGGGGCAGAAAGGCATCCTGCTTTGTCACCCAGTTGCAGAATCGAAAGTCTCACTCTGCAAGCTGGGAGCACACTCAGAAAACAGATAGGTAGAACTGCCTTGGGGGTGGGGGGAGAGATGGCTCAGCTAAGAGTGGCTTGCTTGGCAAACACCTTTAATCCCAACATTTGGGAAGCAGAGGCAGGTGGATCTCTGTGAATTTGAGGCCAGGCTGGTCTACAGAGTGAGTCCAGGACAGCCAGGACTCTGTTACACAGAGAAACCCTGTCTTGAAAAAAAACGAAGAAGGGGAGGAGGAGGAGGAGGAGGAGGAGGAGGAGGAGGAGGAGGAGGAGGAGGAGGA